CAACATCACATCCAATCTAATTGGCACAAAAATATCTACACACACGCAACAAAGAGTGAGCAAAAATACTGAAATCAGGGCACCAAAAAGAGGAAGAACAATCCCCGTGTACCAAAATCATGCAGTTATTTATCTAAAAGCCAAGGCCTCCCATATATACCAAGAAGAAGTCCACATCTAGGAAAAGAACCTTCAGTTTTGAAAAACAGTCGTAAAAGTCATCCTTTTTCTATTTCACAGTAAGATCCATATTTCCTAATGCACTAGAACTACTTTCTTCCATTGTACACCAGAAAGCATGAAATGTGCTTCCTCATAAGCCATATACCCTTTCCCTAGTCCAGAGGGCAATGGGCCAGCAAAATGATAATTGCTTCATAAAGTGGCCTGACACAAAAAGCTGAAAGTGAAAAAATATTGTCATGTAAAGCATGATACTTACTAAAATCCTTGAGATCGTTTACCCAGACAAGCCATCTACAAACCAATTCCAACTACCTTACTACAATGAATAATAGCATCAAGTACTCTTGACTCTTTTACCAAAAGATATATGAGAGAAATAAATTTGCTTTATCTCCAATATGAACATCACCTCTCACCAAGCTAATTCATATATTTGCTTGTTGAATTTCCCAATTAACACACGGCCTAAGCAAATCCAACACATTTCATCACCTGCTTTTTATTATTTGAGCGAGATTCCCAGGATTAAATACTCAAGAAAAGCCCCAACTACAATATTCATGCATAATATAAGTGAAATACTTGCACAAGCAGCAAGATTCCTAAAAACTAGCACAATGTAGTAAGAGGAAAAAAATTCCAACAGCTATAATCAAGTACCTTTCACTAGTCCTAAATACAGCCCCGGCATTCTCCAACAAAATCTTGAGCAACTCCAGTGCCACAATCTTCCCTCTCATCAACTGTGGATCTGCCAACGCCTCCTTAGGCGGTGTCTTCATTGACAGCTTACACAAAGCTCGAAACACTAAAAATGCATCCCGCCTCAACTTATTGCCAATCTGAACTTCCAAATCATCATCCCTCTCGCCCTCCCCATCCGCCAATTCCCCTTTCCGCCCCTCCAATGCAGTCTTATACATACTAATCTCCCAGTACTTAGCATCCAGCATATCCTTATCAGTGGAATCCAACAAATCTGCTGGATTAGTCGATTCCACAGTAGATGTTTTGGTCTCAAAGGCCCCATCGTGGGCCCCGCCGGATGTGGCCCCATTTCTAGGTGTAGCAGGGTTCAGAACCCCATCAATGTCCTGCATAATTTTCGTGATGAAACCCTGCACAAACATTGTCATTGTCCCGTCCGCGTCAGATTTCTCCGTGGGCTCCATCAACTCAGCCACCACTATCGGAGTCAGCGGCACAGTCGATGAATCGGCCTCCATCCGCCGGAAAACAATCACCAGCATTTGAATCAACGAAGCCTTCGCCGTTGTCTGATTCACCACATTTTTACTCCCTAAATAGATATCATAACACGTCCTAACAATCAACAGCAATGAGTCCCCATGGATTCGCAAGGAGACGGACGTCACCGCAGACAAAATCGACTTGATGACCAGCAACTCCACCGATTCATCCCCCAAATCATGGCATTTGCATACGGATTCAATCAATCTCGATAACAACTTGGCGTCGGGTCCTCCAGTGGGGTCGGACTCGCCATGGAGGTAGCCATGCGCGATGAGCTTCTGAACAGCATCGGCGGCGGGCTCGGCGATCTTGAGGTGGCCCGAGTTGGCGGCGTTGATGAGAGGACTCAGAATGAGCTCGGAATCGGACAAAGAGAGGTCTAGAAGGACTCCAGCTGAGGACGTAGGTGCCGTGGCGTCGCCGCCGCCATCGGATTGGGCTGCGGAAGGGGAAGCGGGAGGAGTAGGAGTGGCAGGGCTTTGATTGGGTGAGGTAAGATGCTCGATAATGGATTTACACTCGGTGGAGAGTTTGGAATGCTTGCGCCAAGAGCTGTTCTTGATGATCTTTTCTAGGGCTGGAATCAAGACTGAATTGAGTCGGGAATCGGCTTCAGTTGAAGCCATTCCCCGCAACTTGGGGAGGGGGGGGGGGGCTGCAGCGGCTAGATCTGGAAGCAGCAAAGCAACTCTCGAGGGCTATTACAGTCTTTCCACTTCCACGGCGGCTGCGAAGGCGGGGGGAGCGTGTGGAGAGTGGAGAAATGCGGTGGGGGTGGCGTGGGGTGGGGGAGAAGGGCCGGCGGTGGTGCAACTGCTCGAGGTCTAGGACGCCCGGATCGCGGTTGGCGTTGGTTTAAAAGTTGTCAGCGAAGTGAAATGACTAATACATCCCTATGGTTTGACTGCAGCGAACGACGACGTCGTTGATGCAGATCGGAGGAGGACAACGGAAATGGAAGTTCTGATGACAGATGAAGGAAGGATCTGAATTCTGAAGAAGAAGAAGTTTCCGGGAAATGGCTAATTATTTGTGGAGGTTGCAGATTTCATCGGTATTATTACGGATTATCATCACGGATTATGATTGAAACTTGACCTATACTATACCGGACGATGTTTGATTAGTAATCATCAGTTGTCGGAGTAATGAGAGATTTTTGTGCAACGTAAATTTCAATTGCATGAGGAAATAAATGGAAGAATTTCTTTACCTTTTTTTTTTTTTTGGTGATTACTTTAATGGTGAGCATGTGATTGTGACAACATATATATTATTAAAACAGTTGTAACATAATTAAGATATTACGAAATATCTTAGTCAAATTTTATATTTTAGATAAGTTTTTACAAAATATATGATTCATTTGGACGAAAGAAAACTTTTTATTATCCTGTGAATACATATTAGTGTCATATTGAACTAATAAGAATTATTGAAGCATTAGAACGCATTTTCTTTGTCGTCCATCTTTTTCTTCTTTTCTTTTTCTTTCTCGTCATCTTTTGGTGGGCGGAATAACATGGAAAATGTTTGACTAATTGGATGCACATCTTAATTAATTAAGTGATTAAGGATGCATTTGATAAAATTGACGTATGCAAGTTGTAATCTAAGATATGAATCCATTAAATTACTAACTTGTTAAATATTAATTTGATACATTTGAGTGTATAATTGATAAGTGAATAACTTATTACTTATTTCTCGGTGCAAGTTTTATTTAGAAAATGAAGTGCTACTTAATTAATTTAAATATTTTTTTTTTTGTTATCAAACGCGTATGAGCATGTTAAAATCTGAACATATTAAATTTAAGTGTTGAATTAGACTATCAAAAATGACCTAAGAGTACAAATTATGTTGGACAAAGCATAGTCCGTGAATATTGAACAATATAGTAAGAGAACTATTATTTGCACTTCATTTTTTGTTTTTTGCACTCCCATTATTTGTTTTATCATATAATCTAGTAAATAAAAACGCTATAATTAACATGATTGCGAGAGTGTAATTAACAAAAAAAAAATGAGGATGCACATGGAATAATGGAAGTTCCTTCAACAAAATGAGAGCGATACTGAGTGTAATGACGTTATAAGGACATTATTCTTTTTTTTTTCTCGAAACGAATGAAACACACACACACACACAACATAATGAGAGACACGAAGAAAGGATCAGCAAAATCGATCTGAAAGCAATCTAAGGGGGATCCACAAGAAACACCCATCCAGCCAATTGGTGATAAGAAAGTGCTTTTATGAACCTTAAATTCAGAGTAAATACTCCACAATCAACCGATGTGAGATGGTGTCCCAACCCCCTCCGGCGCACACAGATATGAGGACACTATTCAGATCACATAAAAATGGTGTTATGACCAATTAGCTGTTTTTTTTTTTTAATCTTTTTTTGGTTTGGGGATTGGCGAAGAAGGATGGAATAAACATGATGAAATGTACGAGTGTCACCAAAGTTATTGACCAGCGCGTGACACATCTAATTGGCAAATTGCAATGGCCAAGGCTGCCATCACATGCTAATTGGCAACAATGCATGAGTAGGAACTGCTTAAAAAGTTTGAATCAATTTAAAACTGATATGAGCAGAACAGAAACTACGCTTGATCTTAGCCAAATGGCGGAGGAAGTTTCAATCAATTTGAGGAAGTTTCAACCTGTGTATTCATTGGAATATGTAATGTAGTGTTGGAACTAGTGCTCACACCCAATGTGTGTGCAATCAAAAAATAAAAAAACATATATTTATCGTTGTATATTTTATATAAAATTTTTATTATTGAAGCAAACTTTAATCTTTTAAATATTTTTCATAAAATAATTTTATATCGTTAGTTATAATATTTATTAGAATGTTGAAAACATATACTTAAATAGTTAAAATAAAAAATAATCATAGATAGTTAAGGATAATTAAAATAAAAGTAATTTTTATAAGGGTAAAAATATAAATTCATAAAATGATGATAAATGTTAACACTAATATTAACCCCAAACCCCTTTTTCAGACTATATATAGTGTAGATTTGGAAGGGGACTATGTAATACACTACTACTAACATTGAAAATTTTAAAAATTGTCGATAATTTACTATTTTAAAAATTCTTTTTAAGACGTATAAAAGTGTTAAAAACTTGCGTCGCACTTGCAAATTCAAAGATATATATATGTGTAGTTTTTTTAAAATTTTTTTTGATGCAATCACGTTGAAGCAAGACATCCATAATGTATATAACAAAGTAACTATGCTTGATCCATATGACTGTGTACACGAAAACGTGCAACAATTACATCAATTTTTTGCTGAATCGAATTTGAATAAGCTTTTTTTAAAAATATTTTAATATTATTGAGTTTGAATGTTATCTAACATAATTTATTCAAATTTATATTAATTAGTTGATAAACAAAACTCGAACCAACTCTGGTCAAAGCCAAACTTGATTGGAGTAACTTGCTCATTTTTCAACCTATATATAGCATAGCCTATCTAGTCAGTCCAATAGCAGAGTTTGTTATTCTTTGAGAATTGCAATTCCACCCCTCTACTGCTAAGAATTCAACGAGCCCACTTCTATCCTTGGTTTCTTTTCAACTTTCTCCATCACCCATTCTCTTCTTGGTTACGTGCTCCGCCTTTTCCATTGACTCCGTTTTGTTGCTTCCTTCTTCATCTTCTTACGGTATAAACGGGTCTTTGATTTTTTTGTTTGACACTCGATATTTGTTTATTTTACATTTACTTTTACTCCTGCTCTATCCTATTCTTTGTTTATTTTACATTTACTTTTACTCCTGTTCTATCCTATTCTATTCTAATACAAGGGGACCAACTGGCCTATGGGCCGATGGGGACTGAACTAGATAAATGGGTCTTTGATAACTTTGCAAATTTTGCTTCGTGAACTTGTAAAACGGTTGCTTCGTTGGGATTTCACATGCGCATCGTCTGTTTGACGTTATTCCTCAGCAAGCTTAACTTGTTAAGCTAGTTAAGAAGTCGAAAGAAAGTTTTCTGGGTTTTATTGTATGGTCGCATTTGTAATGGGTTTCTATGACTGCAAAATGCTTTCTTTTACGGACAGCATTGTTGGACCGAGTCAAAATAATCTTGAGTTCCAGCGTTGCTTTCTATGGGGCAAGTCTTTATGGCGAATTCCCTCGAGTTTTGGATGTTTAAAATCAAATAATGGGCCAGTATTGATTGTGAAAAATGAAATTGAGACAGAGAAATTTGAGGTCAAACAGGAAGATAAACCAAGGTTTAGGTGGGTTAAAGTAGGCCCTGATACTAATGAGGACCAGAAACAGGCTATTGCACAGCTCCCACTAAAGATGTCCAACAGATGCAAAGCCTTAATGAAGCAGATTATTTGCTTCAAACCAGAAAAGGGCAATCTTTCGGATTTGTTGGCAGTGTGGGTGAAGAGTATGAACCCCAAGAGAGCCGACTGGCTTCTGATTCTCAAAGAACTGAGCAGATTAGAGCATCCACTGTACCTCGAGGTCAAATTTTTCTATTTTTTATGTTGTGTTCATTAAATGCCGATAACTGGCTATTGGTGCCGCTTTAGCCTTTCTGTTTGGTTACTCCCATTCTAGCTCTTCTGTTTTGTTCTCTCACTTCTCTGGAATGCTGCTTGTTTACCTAATGATCTTGACTACTACATATTTCTAGAAGGTTAATCTTTGTCAAATGCCCTTGAAATCTGTAGGAAATTTTTGAATATTTTTCAAAAACTTATAAGCATAAATAAATATTCCTTTCGGTTTATGCTTGTTTCTGTTTCGCTGTAAGCTTACATAATATATGCAGTTGGAGGTTCCACTATCTGAGATTCCAGTGTTGTACTTGTTGTATAGCAAATGAGTTGTAGAAAAATTGATTTTGAGATGATGATAACCTGGAATTATAAAGCAGGAAAAGATTGTTTAGCGGACATGTCCATTGATGTAAATGTTGATTTTGCTCTGCTTTATTATATTTCCTTGGATGAGTTCTTAAATTGAGGAGAAAGAGAAAAACTTTCAGTGAATGACACTAAGCTTGTTTGTTTTGTCAAATTTATTTATCAAAGCATCGAATTGGACTAAAGACATAGCCTGCTACGTTCTTCTTTCTTGTACATGTCATTCTCAAAATAATGTATTTCATGAAATGGTTAATGTTGCAGCGCTTATAAATATGCTAGAAATATGGTAGCTTTAGCTTTTAACTTGTGCAGTTTGTTCATATGAAGCGGAATTGAGCTTACTAAAACATATCTTAAGTACACTTACTAAACTCTGAGTCCTTAATCAGTTGGCTGGACTCGCTCTCATGGAGGAATCATTTGAAGCATGTGTGCGTGATTACACCAAGATAATACATGGTTACGCAAAGCAAAAAAAGGTGCAAGAGGCTGAAAATACTTTCTTGGCCATGAAGAGAGGAGGCTTTATTTGTGATCAGGTTACTCTAACAGCTTTAGTTCATATGTACAGCAAGGCTGGTAACCTTAAGTTAGCTGAAGATACATTTGAAGAGATGAAGCTGCTTGGTGTTCCACTGGACAGGAGGTCATATGGTTCAATGATCATGGCTTACATAAGAGCTGGAAGGCTTAGCCAGGGAGAGAGTTTGCTAAAGGAAATGGAAGCTGAAAATATTTATGCAGGAAGAGAAGTTTACAAAGCACTGCTGCGAGCATATTCCATGAACGGTGACAGCAAAGGAGCTCAAAGGGTTTTTGATGCTATTCAGTTAGCAGGAATGATACCTGATGCCAAGGTATGTGGACTTCTAATAAATGCATACGTTGTGGCAGGTCAGAGCAGTGAGGCCTGTATTGTTTTTGAGAATTTGAGGAGATCTGGTCTTCAACCAAATGATAAGTGTGTCTCCTTAGTCTTGGCTGTTTATGAAAAGGACAACAAGCTGAGCAAGGCACTTGACTTTCTGACAGACCTTGAGAGGGATGGTTTTCTGCTGGGGAAAGAAGCTTCAGAAGTACTGGTTAAATGGTTTCAAAGGCTAGGGGTTGTGGAGGAAGTAGAGCAGATTTTGAGAGATTATGCATTGAGGACAGCTCATTAATAAGCATTGCTTTTGGTTTCACTTTAAATTTTTCTGCTTATTTTGATCTACTTGAAGAACAGTCTTAAAGGCTGAGGTGATGAAAAATGAAAACAGCGAACTTTGAACAGTACAACTTGGAGAGTTTAGAAGGTAAGTGTTGATTGTAAACCTCTCATAGCATTTCCTACACTGCCTTCTTTCCCGCCTCCCTGCGTCCAGCCTTCTTCTCTTGCATTGGATTCCAAATGGGCTGTCTTTAATTAGCTTAAACAGCAGCTGTACATGTTCTGCTTTGACTTAGTGGCCTTGGTCTTGGCTGCTCTTTTCAGGTCTCTCCTGTGGTTCACACAACTACTATGAATTTTGGGAAGCAATGGATCAATGTGCTTTGACGCACAGTATTATGCTTCGCATACGCATGTTGACAGTGAGTTGCCTCTGTATATGCTGGACTATTTCTGAAATGCTGCCTGCTGAAGCCTAAAAGCATCTACTGGTGGTTTGGGAAAATAACTTGTAATGCGTCATCTGGGACTGGCTCTTTCAACTGATATAAAAAGATAAAAATGTGACTCAGCACCTCACACTGCTGGTGGGTTAGGGCACCTTGATTTAGTAATCAGTCATAAGGAGACTTTTTAAGCTAATGTAATTGGCTACAAGTACAGGTAGCTAATGTGTAAATGATTGATTTGACTCTTCCTGTGAGAAGGTGGCTTGCACAAAGATTCTAACTTGGAATTGACTGCTGTTTGATTTTAAGCTGTGTTAAAATTCAAGGCTTCCAATTTGAACAGAAAGGAAGAGTATCCTTCATCCGTTACATCCAATGCAGTAATACTACTCTGTTTTTGTTTAAATTATTTCATTTAGCCATTCAATTTTACTCTTGATGTAATTTCTTTCTCCGGTTTGCAAGTAAAATGGATTGGACTGAGGGTTGATGGTAGAAATCATGCTTTTATGGAGGTGAACTGATGTTAAGCCGAGTTCGTGGTGGCGGCACAGTCCAACAGCAGCCCTTTTCTTACTAATTGTTACAATGGACATTAGATTTGTTCTAGCTTGCAAATTGGCTTCAAGACCACTGGCACCTCGGCTTGGAATAGGCAATGCAGAGCAACTGCAAGAAGCCCCAAATCCTTGAGTTGGCCAGGAAAGACTTGCAGCTTAATGAAGTCTGGGGTTCTCAGGCCACGGGACGCCATGGGGGTTTTATGTTTCTCGTTTTTTTTTTTTTTTTTTTTTTTTTTTTTTTTTTTTTTTTATCGAGACGATAATTGTATAACCTATACATCCTAAACTATTGGGGACTTTGTATTGAAGGCTAGTAGGTATACAAACTTTATTAGATCAAGAGAGTATTTTGGCACAACTCTTGAATTTTTTTTGCTGCAGGTGAAATTTGAACCTTCACCTACAACTCAAGCAGGATCTTAAGACCCACCTTGGTGGCCACTAAGTGGTTTTCTCTTAGCCTATTGCTTTGACTACTTATTTGTTCCAACTGCTAGTACTTTTTTCTCTCGTTCGCAACACTAATCTAGTAGTATCAACTATCAAAGAGACAAATGAGACAGGACGAAAGGCCTACATGGGCTTCTCCAATTATCGATTTTTCTACAAGCTTCTGTCAATACCCCTTGTATATGTGTCCATTAATGGATTTCTTTTTTGTTTTCTCTTTTGACCTGGTCGTGTAAGCTAACATTAGACCAGCATCCTAGGTCCTAATGCAATACTAGATCAACATCCTAATGCAATACTAGATCAACATTTTAAGTTAATAAGTTTCACCGTTAGACCAACATCCTAGATCCTAATGCAATACTACAAAGTGCAACCCCACGGTCCCTTTCTTCGGACAATTGTAATTGAAGATTATAGACCCCATTTGCAAGGTGAGTTTTTTGAATGTTTGTATAAAACTTTACTGTAGATGATTGTAGAAGTTGTAGAAAAACTTGTGAGATGAAAAAAAAATTTTCCTTTTCCTTTTCCTTTTCTTTCTTTCTTTTTTCTTTTCCTTCCTCCCTTCCCCTTCCCTCTCCCTTGTTCCCTCTGCCGAAATTGCCAATGAAGCAACAACTTTTTGCAAATTTTTTTTCTTGCTTTTTTTCGCTCCTCCTCTCCTACCCGCCACCCCTCCCTCTCCCTCCCCTGCCGCCCCTCTTCTCCCTCTCCCCTTCCCCTTCCTTCCCCCGCCACCTTTTTCCTCCCCTCTCCCCCGCCACCCCTTTGCCCATCACCCCTCCCTCTCCCTCCCTTGCCACTCCTCTTCTCCCTCTCCCTTTCCCCTTCCTTCCCCTGCCACCTCTTTCCTCCCCTCTCCCTACCCCCTTCCCTCTCCTGCCTCTGCAAAAGAAGACCTGCACCTGAAATTTTTTTTTTTTTTTTTTTTGCAATTTTCCTTCTCCCTCTCTACTCCCCTTCCCCTGCCACCCTCACCCTCCCTCGGTGCGATCTGGTCTCGCGACCAGATCGGCCAGAGGGAGAGGGGAAGGGTGGTGGGGGAGGAGTGGGGGAGAGGGAGAGGGAGAAAAAAAAAGGAGAGAGGATCAAAATTGGGAAAAGGGGAGGATGGCAGGGGAGGAAGAGGGGGAGAGGGAGAAGGAAAAAAAAAAAAGAAGATCGGCACTAGAAAAGGTGATCGGCGCCAAACCGACGCCGGAGGTGGTGGCTGGCAATGAAGGTGGTGGTGGGTTGGGGTGGGGGGGAGGAAGAAGAAGAAAATGGGAAGGGAATTTTTTTTTTTTTTTTTTGTTTTGGATATTTTAAAGTGTGTAAGTTAAACACTTTGATAAGTTTTTGAGATTCCTGTAGCAAAAGTTGTTAAAAAACTAATATCAAACAAACTTTGCTAAAAATCAAGGTTTCAAACAGGCCCATAGTGTTTAGATGCCTCATTATTTGGAAAGGCTTTTTTTTTTTCGCAATAATACGGTACTAGTATTTTGTAATATGATATATAAGATATAAAATTGTGATTAAAAGGATAAAAAGATAATCAGAAAACGTGTTTATGATCTAAGCATAGAAGTTTTTCTTAATTATGAGCTTTGGAAACACATATTCTTTCTTGTGTGTTAACTCGTGCATCTCTATAAAAGAAATTAAAACTTAAGTTATCTTCTATATAGAATTAGGCCACGGTTTAGCTTTGAATCGGAAAGATGGGCAGTTTATTGAACCAGAACTGGAAAACCATTTGAATTGGAATGGCGATTCATGTTGGGCTCAAACCATCTTACAAAAAAAAAAATAACTTGGGCCAAATTGGTCCAACCTAGACGATGCCTGATTAACTAAGATGTTTTTTCTTTTCTCTATTTCAATAATGAGAAAATTATGTATCTTTTTATTTAATTTAAAACATTCAATAAATTTTGAAGTTTTTTCATAGAATTTGTATCATTTGTTCTTTTCCTTATCACACGATAATACAATAAAATTCTTTTTTTTTTCTCTATATTCATTGTCATGTTTTCTTAGAATTAATATTATAATAACAAGTGTTTACACATAACTCAAAGAGTAGGGACCGTAACTAGAAAAAACCGAATTGTAATAAAAAATAAGTAACTATAATCGAAACCAGAGATTCCAAAATTGTAATTTGTAATTGTCCCTACAATGACTAATTCTGGCTTCACCTTTCAAAAGAATGGAAACCAGTAAGTAATTTTTAAACCGAAACTAGTAGTTTTAGGTCAGGCTATGGCTGCACGGAGCGAATGATTCACAAGGAGGCATTTGAGAAGAAACATGCCGTTTGCTTACAGGAGAGTTTGTTCTTTGTTCTTTTGTCAGCCTTTTTTATGAATTCTCCTCACTTTTTTCTTCTCTGCCCTTTCCTTCAAAAAAAAAAAAAGAAATCATACTTCACAAAAAAAATTTTCCTAACAGGAGTTGGCTAGAATTTAAAAAATGAGGAAACTGACTGAAACATTCGAATCCAAAACCTCTAAATTTTGCAATCTCAACCTTAGTCACTGAACCAAGGTCGGTGGGGTGGGAGGTCCCACCATTGGCCACAAAAAATGTGGCAAGCCACTTTGAGTGGCTTCCAAACGAGTGCGTCGTGCGTTCGTCTGGGCCGGTAGGTAGTTTAGTCCCTTTCGGTTTCTCCCGACCTGTTCAGGTCCTCCCCTCCCCGTAGCATAAAAATACAAAAAATTGTAAGTCTATTATATCAAAAACAAAAAAAACCTTAGTCACCGGATCAAAACCCCTTCAACCCACGTATTTGAGTCTAAAACTCTAAATTTTGAAATTTTAACTTTAATCACCGGATCAAAACCCCTTCAGCCCACGTATTTGAATCTAAAACTCTAAATTTTGAAATTTTAACTTTAATCACTAGATCAAAACTTCGCCCACCTACTTTGAAAAAAAAAGTTTGTTAATGTTGATATTTTTACCACTTAATTAGACCAACACCATCCACTGCATAGCAAATAGCCTCATATCCTCTCTGCAACGGATGGCATACCATCAAGTCCTATTTTATATGAAAAATTTCAGACAGCTAGCTAAGTTTGCATCCACAATATATATATTCATCAACTTGTAACTAGTACTAAAGAAATTCATAGTAGTATGATCTACAAAAGCATGTATACGCTAAATTTGAATTAAATTCGTGCCAAAACAATACTATAAAGTATGAACAGAAAATAATATAAAATAAGTAGATTAACCATAGAAATTACTTGCCTTTGTATTAAAAGAAAAAATCATAGTTAAATTGCCTTTGGGACGAATTTAACCGGGGGACCATAATGCAAAAACCTAATGCTACTAGTCAATAAGGTCAGAGTCTCATTTTGAGTGGGGTGGCAAAGGTGGTACTTCATTGCATGGCACTGTGGAGGACGTCCGGTGTCTATGCAGCAGTTCCCGGGCCAATTCTTGAAGATCACCGGTGCCGGCTGATGATGATGCCTCGGCCGGAGCTCTTGCAGCACCAAACTGATGAGAATCCATCTGGCGTGGCTGCTGCATTGTCCACGGCAGTTGCACCACTGGGTCAAAAAGTGACGACAAGTCATACGTTGCTGGTGCTGATGATGAACCCGTCGGCAGGTCTGCTATGGTGAGCGAAGGCGGTGCAATGATTGGTTGAGGCTGTGCCGATGGTGGTGGTGGTGGAGGAAGCTCTAGGGTTGCTAGGTGGCCTTGCAAGTAAGACAGCTCTGCTTGTAAGTTCACCACCTGCGATCACAAATTCAGAAGATCAAATGAGACGCCTAGCTAACATGGAGAAATCAAATTGAATAAGTTGGTAAACTAACAATTAAAATCGAACTTCAATGGATGTTCTTCAATAATTTGTTCAAATTAAAGTATAAACTCCAGAATCTGAAAAAACTAAAACAAAATAAAATGGCATGCTTTACAGGCTAGGAAACATTATGATGCTTCCGAAACTAATATACATTAAGCACCATCCTACATAAATAGGCCCTGATTCATCCTGACAGGGACCGTACGTCCAAATATTATGTAAGAATTGGAATTAATGAACACAAGAATATTCTTCATTGTACTTGCTCATCACAAATTCTAATGATTATTATCATGACTGTCTCCTCCGTACAAAGATTAAATCCTACTATAAGATGTTACAACAGAAGATCGAAAGGTAGTAAATTGTGCAATTTTTTGTTCGCACTTTCTTCTTTTGATCAAAGTGAAAGATTTTGAATTCAAAACTTTCTACTTATGATTCTTCCCACGCTACCATTAATTTAATCCAACCCTTCCCCCGTGTGTAATTTGTCGAACGATGATGTGCTTTGAGCTCCTAGTTTTAAGATTTAGATAGACCAACCAGATCATCACCAACTCCTAATCTTCCAAA